CTCAAGTCATTCTGCCTCTGCCTCCCAAGTAGCTGGTACCACAGGTGCCTGCTATAACACCCGGCTATTTTTTGGTTGTAGCCATCATTGTTTGGCAGGCCCGAGGCTGCCAGCTCAGGTGTATGTGGCTGGCGCCTTAGCTGCTTGAGCCACAGGCGCTGAGCCAATAAAATCATTCTAATTTCAAAAAAAGAGATCAAATTATTCAAACTTTTAATTCTATAGATTAGGGAACTGAGGCCTGGAAAGTTTAAGTGACTGGCCCATAATATTATGTAAATGGTGTACTGTGTCAATAATAGAGTTGAGACCAGTTCAGCTCATGGTGCCAGGTACCCTGGTCCCTGAAGAACTCAGAGTTTATTCTTTTTTTTTTTGAAACAGAGCCTCACTATGTTGCCCTCGGTAGAGTACTGTGGCATCATAGCTCACAGCAACCTCCAGCTCTTGGGCTTAGGTGATTCTTTTGCCTCAGCCTTCCGAGTAGCTGAAACTACAGGCGCCCACCACAGTGCCTGGCTATTTTTTTTGTTGTTGCAGTTTGGCCAGGATCGGGTTCAAACCCACCATCCTCGGTATATGGGGCCGGCCCCCTACTCACTGAGCCTCAGGCGCAGCCCCTAGAACTCAGAGTTTAAAGAGGTGTCCTTTTTAGAAATGGCCATGATGCCAGGAAGGAAATAGAAAAAGACAAAAATGAGGGAAGGACAACAAATCTAAATGACTTTGTATTTTGTAATTAAGGACATTTTCATGTCACTTTTATTTATTTATTTATTTATTGATAGAGTCTCACTCTGTTGCCCCAGGCTACAACAGTGCCCTGGCTTCCTAGCTAACCTCAAACCCCTGAGTTCAAGTGATCCCCTTGCCTCAGCCTCCTGAGTAGCTGGCACTACAGGTACCCACCACAACACCTAGCTAATTTTTCTGGTTGTTAGCGAGATGGGGTCTCGTTCTTGCTCTGGCTGGTCTTGAACTCCTGAGTTTAAGCAATCTACACACCTCAGCCTCCCAGAGTGCTAGGATTATGGGCATGAGCCATTGCCCCTGGCCTTCATGTGACTTTAAAAATATCTTAGGCCATCATGGTGGCACACACCTGTAATGCTAGCACTCTGGGAGGAGTGGATTGCCTGAGCTCACGAATTTGAGATCACCCTGAGCCATTGCAAGACCTTGTCTCTAAAAATAGCCAGGTGTTGAGACAGGCGCCTGTAGTCCCAACTACTTGGGAAGCTGAGGGAAGAGAATCTCTTGAGCCCAACAGTTTGGGTTTGTTGTGAGCTGTGATGCTACGGCACTCTACTGAGGGCAACAAAGTGAGACTCTATCTTTAAAAAAAAAAATCTTATCTAGGTGAAGGGAAATTTCTGGGAGGAGGTTTTATTCCTAAACACCTAGTGGAAATGCTCTGATGGCCTGGGCCTCTTAGGTTCACAAAGTCAGATGCCTAATGAACTAAGTAGGGGTCACAGGCTATGTAGGCTTTCTCTGAGGAAAATTGGATGTCTGTTGCTGCTGGACAGGTAAAGGAGACAGGACAAATCTTCCAAATTTCCAAGAGCTGGAAATGCTAAATTTCAATGTGAAATCTTGTACATGTTAAATAGTCTCCACTATTTTGAAGTTTTTAAATTATTTTTTCTTTTTTTCACAGATTTTTGAATTTTCAGATAGTTATTTCATTTGTTTTAGAACACTGAATTGGCAAATCAGTCTGAGAATCCAGTTTTCAACCTCTATGATTAAAAATAGCATAGTACTTTTTTTTTTTTTCAAGAGACAGAGTCTCACTCTGTTGCCCTCAGTAGAGTGCGGTGGCATCACAGCTTACAGCAACCTCCAGCTCCTGGACTTAGGCGATTCTCTTGCCTCACCCTCCTGAGAAGCTGGGACTACAGGCGCCCGCCACAATGCCCAGCTATTTTTTGTTACAATTCGGCTGGGGCTGGGTTTAAACGGGTCACCCTCGGTATATGGGGCCAGCGCCCTACCCCCTGAGCCACAGGTGCCACCTCCATAATACATGTTTTCCCCAACACCAAGGAGAACAGGAAAGGATAGTATGCATTTTCATACCACTTTGCCTGGATTCTCCTGTGAGTCTTAGCTGGATATAAATAAACCATTATTCCTTTGTACCTTAGCATTCATGAGAGATGAAGAATCTTCTCTCCTTTAACCAAATTTTCTTACTATTTGTGAGAAGAATGATTAGAAGACTGTAAGACATTACGTTGTTTTTGTAGTAGGAAGGATATCATGGGTCTCACAATGCGCTGTGGTGGGCTGCCTGTTGGACCTGGCAATGGGAAAGAGCCAACACTGAGAGCCATTGCTTTCTCAGATACTTAGGGGCATGCCAGCCTTATTGCTATCGCCTTAGGAACCTGTGCAGAAGTACACATTTCTGGGCCCTCTGCTTATAGATTCTGATTCAATCAGTCTGGGTGCAATCTGCGAATATATTTTTGACATATATCCCAGTGGCTCATTAATTAGGTTATAAAACATCCATTCATTGGTACTGTGCAGCTATTAAAAAAAGTTGAGGTGATTTGTATTTTCTTGTGTAGAAATTTCTCCAAGATATATATGTATATATATATGTATTTTTTTCTTTTGGAGACAGACTCTCACTTTGTTGCCACTTGGTAGAGTGCAATGGCATCATAGCTCACAGCAACCTCAAACTCTTGGGCTTATATGATCCTCTGCAGGTGATTCTGATGTGCAGCCAGGTTAGGAAACCAAGGTTACATATTATCATATCTTCACTGTATCCTGGACACAATAAAGGCCATTTCTTCTTGCCTCAGAGAGTTTATTAATTTATGTAGATCTTGGACTAGATTGTGGATGCCAAGGTTTTGTGGGCCTCTGCACAGGCTTCAGAGGGAGGACAGAGACAGTCTCACATGAGAGAGATGGTTCCTTGTTAGATGCTTGAGCAGCCTAATCCCAGGACACTGCAGAGATTGTTTCAGGGTTGCCAGTTTTAGGGGTGGACGAGAAAGCTAGACTTGGGACTGGACTCCCACCTGGGAATGAACCTCAGGTCTGCTCTTTTGTTTCCTCACCTAAAAGTGTTAAAGTAAGAATGGAAAAAGAGGATATGTGTAAAACACCTGTTGGCACAGATTGGAGCTTCACAAATGATATAACAATTACTATAATTCTCTTCATTAAAGGTTGCCTTTGTAGAGCTGCAGCCATGTGAATCCCCCTCCATGGAGGGAAGGCATGTTCCCATGGACATTCATTGTACCCATTCCCTCTCCCCAGTCGCTGCTTTGATGGGAGTACCCCTGTCCATGCAGCAGCATTTTCAGGCAACCAGTGGATCCTCAGCAAATTGCTGGATGCCGGGGGTGATCTGCGACTCCATGACCAGAAGGGTCGAAATCCACAGACCTGGGCCTTGACAGCAGGAAAGGAACGTAGCACCCCGGTAAGGGTGGGCCCCACTCTGCAATGGAAGAGCACTGGGCTGAGAGTCACAATCCCATGGGGCAGCACTGAATGTGCAGTATCCTTAAGCATTGGCACTGTGGCCTGGGTTGAGGCAAGTTAACCAGCCATAAATCCTTGGGTAAGTCTAGTGAGCCTTTCTAGTCTATCTATCCATGAGGTGGGAAAAACAGTTAGAATTTTTCTGACCGATGTAGTACTTACCACAAATCAGACATTGCTCCAAATATTTTTTATGTATTAACCCTCTTAGTCTTCACAACAACCTTTTGGGTAATTACCATCACTGTCCCCATTTTATAGGTAGGGATTTTGAAGGCCATTGACATTAAGTAACTTGGCTGAGGATGTGATGTATTTTAACAAGGAACTAAATAAGATAACAAATGTAATCTGTAAATGTAGGGCATGCACAGTGCCAAGCACCTCCACATGCAGAGTCACTTGTACTACCACTGGTTCTCCTGTTCTTTAGCTTACTGGGCTTTGGATCAGTAATTTTACTCCTCTCATCCTCCATTTCATTATCTATTGAAGAAGGGAGTTGGAGGAAATTGTTACCAAATCTTCTCTCTGAAAACATTCCATATCTTTAGAAAGTCACCTGAGCCCTTCCTTTTCTAGAGATTTCCCTGTCAGGGTTCCCGGTTCGTCTGGTCATTTCTCTTCCCACCTGTGCCTCCATTCTCATGGAAGGCTGATGTGGCCAGCACTGAGCTTTTCTGCGGTGTGTTGCAGATGGTGGAGTTCATGCAGCGCTGTGCCTCGCACATGCAGGCCATCATCCAGGGCTTCTCTTATGACCTGCTGAAGAAGATAGACTCCCCACAGCGGCTCATCTGCAGCCCGCCCTGGTTTGGGGGCCTCATGCAGGGGTGAGTACTGCCTCTTGCAAAGTGGAGTTTTCTGCATCATCCCAGCCTTCCTCATGGGGGGCCTTGTAGCTCAGGCTGACTGTTTTCTCCACATTGGTGCCCTCTAGCATTTGGCCCACCCAAAGAGGTGCAATCAGAAAATGTGGCCACTGATAAAGGATGGTGAGAGGAGAACCTTTGGCCATCTCTCTCCCCTCTTTCCTTCTGGAAGGTCGGAGGGGAATGCCTGTGGGCACCAGTGGGAACCATTCTGTGTTCAACAGAGGGGGAACATCTCAGGTCTGATGAGCCCAGAAAACCTTTACCTAGCAGGGCAGCTGCCTGGCTTTTCTCTTTGTCATTCCTGAACTGCAGAAAAAGTGTTCCCTTTATAATTAAAGTTGCAGAAGACCATGCTTCTTGGGCTATTTTAAGCTGAAGCAAGAGACTTGGTGCCCACTTGGGTGGGCAGTTCCCTCTCCCCACCTTCACAGCTACAGGAGGTGGGCCCTAGGTTTTACATGTTCAAGGAGAAGCTTGTGTGGGGAATTTAAGTTCTCTGGGTTTTACTGACTTAGGGTTTGTATGTGGATAACACTTTCCATTTTGCTTTTCCCTGACAGCTTTCCTTTCTGTAATGAGGGTAGCTGGACTTACCACACTTGCAAACCTCCCTCATCCTATCCTTGATACACATTGCATCCTGGTTTTCCTTCTGATGACCTGGTTGCTGCTGCCTCTCAGGCAAGATGAGGTCATAATTCTCTTGAGGACTAGTTACTCCTAATTCCCTGTATTGCCACTTAGGCTAGACTTGGTTGTTCAGCATCTAGAATGACCTTTTCAAAATGGAAATCAAGTTGTGCTACTGGCCATTAAAAACTGTAGGACCTTCTCCATGCCTATCAGGATAAAATCCCAAATCCTCCTTCTGGCCTTAGAGGCTCTGCCTCCAGCTCCTCCTTCTTTTTCCACCTCATCTCCTGCCCATCACCTTTACCTGGAATTCCCCTGTTCTGAGTTAGAGAGACATGGCACAGTCTACAATTGTTTTATTTGTATACTTTCTTCTCCATTTTTCTAGTAGACTGAACTCCAGAAGGCAAGGATTGTGTTGGTCTTATAGTCATCACCACTAACCTGTAGCTGCCTAGTGCATGGTAGAGTTTAGCACAATGAGAGTCGGTTCATGGGCCAGCCTTATAGGAAAACCCAAGTTTAAGTATTGATAAAACTTTTAAAATTTCAGTTACTAATCTGTATATATTTTTTGGGACTCAGATACCCAGGTTAGAGTGCCCTGGCATCAGCCTAGATCACAGCAACCTCAAACTCCTGACTTCAAGTGACCTTCCTGCCTCAGCCTCCCAAGTAGCTGGGGCTATAGGTGTTCACTACCATGCCTGGCTAGTTTTTCTATTTTTATTTTTATAATTTATATTTATATAAATAAAATATATTTATATTTTATATAAATATATTTATATTTTATATAAAATATATAAATAAATTTTTATAATTTATATTTATTCATTCATTCATTCATTTATTTGAGACAGAGTCTCAAGTTGTTGCCCTGGGTAGAGTGCCATGGAGTCATAACTCTCAGCAAACTCAAAACACTTGCGCTGAAGCAATTCTCTTGCCTTAGCCTCCCAAGTAGCTGGGACTACAGGCACCCGCCACAACGC